GTCGTCAACTACTATTATCATAAAGTTTTATATTTCATAACAGGATGTATACAATCTATAGCAAAAACGATAAGTCCAAGTGTCTCTACTAGTGGGAGTAATTAATAGATCTTTAATACTAGATGAACAACAATGTACCTCGATGACGTCCCACATATTATAGTTAGAACATATCTAGGGCAGGATACTTTCCTTGATTTATGTGTCAATGCTTGTGACACAGTAGTATCACCATTAAGCATCTGGCCAGGTTACTGGAAGAGACTAATACTAATCTTTACCATTGTTATACTATTGGATCCAGCGCGGTTTAGTAATATGCATTCATTATGCAAGAAGTTGTAGTAGATAATGATAGCACTGAGGCTAAGTGTCATCACGACCACGGGCAGATCACAAGTAGAAGTGTAGGAATTGTCGAGTTGGAAAATTGGTTAAACTCTCTAAAGCAAAGCCAAGCTAATACGAATCCATCCAAACTACAAGTGTGTCTACTAGCAGTAGTAAGACTAGCGCGGAACTTTGATACTATTAAAAGGTACGGCTGACCTTAGCATGACTCCCCTAGGGCGCCTTGAGGTCTGGATGGACGACGGCATGGGCTTATACCGTAACAAGCTGATACTTTTAAGTATATATAATTAATAAGAATAAATATATTAAATAGTTCATCGGAGTTTCACGACCCGTTTTACGTGAAGTGGCGTAAAACGCGCTATTCGCGGTGATATGCAGTAGTCGTGAAATATATGTTTTTCACCAGTGTTTTTCCACCTCACGGGTGAAACTCAGTTAATGAATTAATTTGAATAATTAAATATAATATATGTTTACTCGTAGGCCGGGAATTCACACTAGGTATGACAAATGTTTCCACCGAGGAATACAGAGTGACAAAGCAATTCTTCAACAGATCGTTTCATCATCCGAATTGGGAAAGATCAATCGCGCTCGACAGTATCTTAGCACTTACTATTTACAGCCACACTATAGTAAGTAATACTATACACTATTCAGTAGTGTGAGTTCTAACACGAAATACAGTGTTGGGGAACTCGAAATGGGAGGGTAATGGCACACCTCAAGAGCGAGCAGCCTCCGGTCAATCACGAGGTGTGATATGAAAAAGATATATCACAATACACAATACCAATGTTTTATCGGTCGCGGAAACACAGACGTCGTGTAGTTCACATTGAATATTACGCCACTTCACACTAAAAGTGTCAAACTTCTTGTGAGACGCAACAGGGAACAATATCGATCGGAGTTTCCTACCCAGGACTTGTGAACTCAACTACTTCCCAAGGAAGAGGATGCCAAACCAATTAGATGTAGTTCCCGAATGTGACTACTCGCCACATGTGGAATAGGCGGGAACAGGGGACATGTAATCCGCACATACCCAGTGATTGACATCTCCTATTAACTCTGTTAACCAAACCACATATACTGCGCCATAAACACTTCTGTAAGTCTCTTACGAAACTCAATTCGACTAAATTTCTCAACAAGGATCATAGTTGCTAGCTCTGAAAACCTGCGCGTCACGCGCACAATTACAACGCACCCACTTCGAATTGAAACGGCCGGGACGGCTCCGGTTGTAACGCTCGGCGAATTTGAGGGCGAATTTATTGCAGAGGCAACAGATGTCCGCATATCAGTTGGATTTCTGCCTATGTTCTCGGTGTGCGTGAATGCTCGCAGGTATATATGGGGTAGTGGGATTGGCTTGTCAACGCTCACACAAGCATAAGTCGAGATTCGGTCAGATGCAGAGTGATAAGCGGCTAAATCTTCGTTGGTGTGATAATCGTTCTTCTTCCAGTTGTCTATTCAATACCAAGCAGAGGGTCGCGCGGCCTGCGGCGCACGTTTTTTTCGCGGCGCGCGATTTCCTGCTCTTCGGCGTCTCAACTTGCACGCATACGAAATGTATCTGTTTATAGATTTTAGGGTGATTTTCCCTCCGCGGTGCCTCCCAATGGCCACTACTGATTCTCATGCTTCGATGATTAACTTCCTCGGTGAAGGCTTGAAGTCCGGGGTAACTCCCTCTACCAGCCAGTCCACTATGGCGGCCGAATCTCCCAGTCAGGACAACCTATCCGTCTGGTCACTGTAAGTTGATCGTCATCAGACTTCGATCCACCGTCCCTCCTCAGGTCCCATGAGCCCGAGACCCCCACTAATGTCGACAACGGTTTACACAGTCGCGCCCTCGACACTTGTGGTATATCTTGGGAGACCTTGACCGCGGGTGGCCTACAAGGGCAGAAGTTGAGGGAGTCCCTCCTATTCAACACATGTATCGTCTTTTTCAACGCTGGTTACCATGGCAAGAGATTCATCTACGAGAAGGCACATGAACTCGGTGTGAAAGCTGTCATTATCGACTCCCCTTGCTCGTGGGCGTCGAGCCTCGCCACTGAAGGCGTTATTAGTCATTTTATTGGCCTCGATATGAGCCAAGACTCTGACGCCATTTTTGAGGCAAGCTATGAAGCCCTCCGAGAGTTCGAGATGACCAGCGGCATCACCATTAATGGTATCTGTACGGCCATTGAGCTGGCGGTCCCTATGGTGGCTCGTTTAACTGAAGCCTTCGGCCTCCCTGGCCCCGGCCCACACGTTGTTGAGGCTGCCAGGGATAAATACAAGACGCGAGAAGCTCTAGAGAGGCATGGTCTGCCGAGGACCACGGTAGGCTTGATGGCTCGGGATGACATGTATTTTCATTATGTTCTCAGCACTTTTTAATATCCTGCGAGGATGACATCGAGCCGGCTGGCGATTTTGTTGGTTATCCAGCTGTCATGAAGCCCGTCTCTGGTGCAGCATCATTAGGCGTCAAAAAGGTAACAGTTTCCTCGTGTGTTTTCGCTCAATAAACTGCAGGTGAACTCCCACGAAGAGCTTTTGGCCGTCTATCGAGAGACTCAGCAGCTCCTCAGTGAGCTGGTGGTCAGCTCGGGTGCCCTCGAGAGGAAGAATGAGCACAGTGATCCGGTGAGTATTTATCAAGAACGATGATGATGAATGTGATGGTCCCTATTCAGGACGCGGTGGCTGCCGCCGGTCGTATTTCCACCGTCGTAATACTCGAGGAGTATCTCGACGGTCAGGAGGTCGATGTGGATGTTGTGCTCAGTCCTGGCTTGGGCTGTACATTTGCTGTTGTCACTGATAATGCTCCTACCAAGGAGCCCTATTTTTCCGAGACCTGGGGCGTTATTCCTAGTGCTCTCCCTCGTGACCGTTGTGACCAGCTTGTCGATCTTGCCGTGAGCTCAGTGAAGGCTCTAGGTTTCGACTCTGGTGTTTTTCACGTCGAGGCCAAGTACACGTCCCGCGGTCCTCGTTTGATTGAAGTTAATGCCCGTATGGGAGGCGGGCCAGTCCATTTGTGCCATAACATTAGTAATGGTGTTGAGCTCTGCGTAGAGGTGATGCTGTTGGCTGTTGGTCTCCCTTCTCGGCCCTTTCGAAGGGACCTGGCAGTGGTAGGCTTTGGCAACATCAACTCCCCTAAGAGTGGTACTCTACACAACTTTGACTTTTTGAGTAAGTGGCAGAGCGTTGATGGTTGCGAAATGCAGTTCTGTGTCCCAATGGTGTCCCCTGGTGACCACATCGTTGGTCCAGAGGAGGGTCAGCCTTGCTGGGTGGTCGACTTCATGTTCACTTGCGACTGTCCTTCGAGAGCTGCTGAGATCAGTGAGATGCTTGATACGGAGATTACGGAGGAGCTCAGTCGTCAGATCGACCTCCAGAGTAATTTTCAACACCACTGATGGTAGATTTTATATCATCGTCTCGTCCTTTCCCTCCACTCTGAGTGGATTTTCTGCCGAGACGTGAGCAGCGATAAATATCCATCTTTTTATGACATCAACTGTCAAGTATGTATGCATACAATGCTTTGTTTACACAGTAATCACACTGTGAGTCGCCAAGTCGGCTATATGATTCGCAGGGCGCGAATCTTCACTTTCCCCGAGTTGAGTTCAAGTCACGTCAGTGTAGGACCTGTTGGTAGATGTTGTCATTGAGGAGAAGTAGCCGTCGATGTTTTGGGAGTTCGTCTACGATGTATCTGGATAAGCAGGAGACTACTGGGGGGTTCATGACAAGTCGGAGGAGGCAGAAGGCCGCGGCTGATATAGCTAGGGAGAGGGACAATCGGAGGTTGAAAGGGATGCCTGTAAGCTCACATGGCCCATCATAGAACCTAGTCTGAATCTTGATAAGTGGACCTCTAACGTATCTTCCTGTGGAGCTTCCCATATTCGAGAGAGTTCGATGGCGAGGACGTCAGGCTTCCACCGAATTGTCATTTCACATTTCCTATGATCAACTTTAGTTTCAACTTGTCCGTCGTGGGTTAGATGAACGTGCGTGTGTGTAGGTCCGGGACTTCGGCTCGATGAATGCAAGCGATCTTTGCGGGGCGTTTTCAGCAGCAGCACGGAACAAAGTTGCTGACAAGAAGATTTGGAAATCTCTTCAGAATCGGGCGCTGTTTTTGATGGGTATAATGGCGCCGGCCAACGTGGCAGTTGTGATGAATTCGCTAGCGCGAGCTCAACTGGAAGATTTCAACGTCGATCTGATCGCCGCTGTGACAGAGAAAGTCGTCGAGCAAAGGGAAGCCTTCCAGTGGAACGATCTTGGGCTGTTGGTGAATGCATATGCAAGGCTCCAACTCGGGAAGGATGATTTCTTTAAAGTGTGCAGCGATATAGTGATAAAGTGTCGAGGGAGTGGTATGAACGAGAAGGATATTGCACGGTTCGTCAACGCGTATGCTAAGATGGGCATTCGAGATGACAAGCTCTTTGCAGTGCTCGGAGGTAGCATAGACTTCCTCCAGCCTCGGTGGTACGATGGGGTTGCTCAGGGCGCATCTTGGAGTGTGAATCGACCTTCACCGAGTTGTCGTTGTCCAACATAGCCAACGGTTACGCCAAGTTGGACATCCGAGATCTCGACGTGTACGTCACCGAGGGGTGGTTGTATACCTAGAAAATATCTTTCAACAGGTTTCGAATGATTGCTCGAGAATTGGACGCAAGACTTTTGAGTGAAGGTATGAAATCTCAACATGTTGCCAATATTTTGCACGCATACGCAAAGTTGCATATATGGGATGCTCCGGTGATTTGGGAGAGACTCGTGAAGCGGCTGCTACCGAAGATGGTGAGTATCCTAGGTTCAGGTGTGTATGATACGGATTAGGTCCGCTTTTGGTTTAGTTGGCAGCCAACGAGTTCAGTCCATTGGAAGTATCAGCCGTGGCTGGAGCGTTAAGGTGGGTAGGCGCAGGTTCGATCCCTGGTGGAGGGATTTCTTTGGTCTAGCAAAGCAATCGCAGCGCCAGTGAACAGCTCGTCAGAGTCTCAAGTCGATTGCCGTACCGTACTGCCTCCGATGGCTGCCACTACACTTGCAAATTTGAAGGACTACCATTCCCATGAGATAGCCAATGTAATAAACTGGTGGTAAAATACCCCTACTGGGAATTGAACCCGAGATTTGCAATCAGACGAGACGATTTAACACACAACCTATTTCGGCGTGTAGAGTACTTGTACATCAATCCACGTCAACTGATGGCTTCAATGAGGCCTTCGAGATGTTGTCCAGTTGTGAACAATAAACTTGAGTCCTCCATAGGTCCTGCACGCCCTTTCTACAATTCACCAGCATACCACCACACCATACTGTCATTCGGAAAGTGAGCTTTGGTCGGAGGCGGTGCCTGAGCTCATCATCGACAAGGGCTCGACCTTCCAGCCACATAGCATGTCTATGGTAGTGTATTGTGAATCTTCCCTATGCAGAGGCATCTTTGTAGATACTCTGTGCGTTTGGACGAGTAGGTCGGGCGATCCCTCGCCGAGCGTTAACGGTCATTGAAGGACGACTCGAGAAATCCAGCGGGGATTATAATGACGACATTGATACTCCGGTGAGGAGGCCGCTCGTCAATTTGGAAATCAGTGAAGATTTCTGTCCGTATTAATATTACGAACAAGTTTGTTCCTACTTTAGCCAAACTCTGAAGTGATTCTGGAATCGACATTCTTTCGCACAATTCTGATCTTCGTAATTTGAAACTCTCTAGCTGGCAAGAGAGTTATAAAACTCTCTTCAAAACTCTCGGACTCTGTGGGAAAGTTGTCGAGTATTGAGAAAGGCTTTCGAGTTCGAAATAGCAGCGCTGATGTGAATCGATGCTGCCCATAGATTGGCTTACTCTCAGAATCTCGTCAATCAGCTGTACGCTCTGGGCCGTTTGGGTCTGTCCACCTCTCCCCTGGTTGGGATCATCTGTGAGGCGATCGACCGGGGTCCTCCATTGAAGGAAGAGGCCATGATGGTGAACACCTACTACGCCTTGTCCAAGCTGTACGATGGCTCGGACGAAGGACCAACAACTGTGAGGGGTCTTTCTTCACTTACGAATGCTAGAGGGAAATTTCAGGCACTCCTACGACGCATCACAAACCAATTCTGTATGAACGGCCATAATTATGATTTCACTCCACAGCATATTGCCAACATTTTGCACGCCTCTTGTGATCTTTCCGTCTCCTTGACAAAGTCATTTACTGGAACTATCGCTTCGCGAATCCTCGATCGTTGGGAAGGATTCGCCCCGCAACTCTACGGATCAGCGCTGCTCTCTTGTGCTAAGTTGAAGATCGACTCTGATGAGCTCTGGAAAAGCCTTCTTGGAGTGAGTCGGCGTATGATGAAACTTCATTCTGACTGTCGCTGTGATCGTGACGTGGTCGTGGCGTTGACCACGATGGGCGTGGCTGATAGAGATTTGTGGCAAGCTACTGTTTCCAAGCAGCTCATGAGAGTTCGAGAGCTCCCTCTACCAATATTAACCTCTACACTGTACGCTGCTGCCTTTGCTGGGTACTCAAACGTCGACTATCTCACTGAAATCAGCTCGGAGGCTTTAAGGCGATCTCGGAATGTTCCCGTACATTTGGTAGAGGCTGTTGGTCGGCTGATGAGGGTGTGCGTGGATGCTGAAATTTTGGCAACTATCGCTCCGTGGGATGTTATGGAACTATCTTTGGAGGTGCCTGATCGGTTGACGGATCCACTGGGAGGAAACATGATGACGACGTTTTTCGAGGTCTCCTCGATCGGTAGCAGCGGCAACGCATTTAGTCACATATTGAGACTTATGCAAGTGAAAGCGGCTGAACTCGGCAGAGACGAATTGCTGGTCTTCCTACAGAGATGGTCTAGAGTGGGAGAGGAAGATTTCATGGAACCTCTACTGTATGCGATGGAAAAGATGATAATCGATCAGCCGATCGATTTGCTTACACTGGCCAAGGCCTCTAAGTATCTAGGACCAGGTCAGCGTCGCGGGTTGTCTCGTGCGACAAGGGCAGCTCTCGAGAATCTCGACGCTCTGCCGACTACTGCTATCATCGCATGTTCCGCTATCTTACTTCCTCAAGTTGACCTCACTTGTCGAGGCAAGATTTTCGAAGTGCTCTCGAGGTGTGTCACCGCCGTAGACGTCCCCCTCCTACCCGTCTTGCAACTCTGTCGAGCCGTCTGCGACCTGCAACCACCGGTTGTTACCGACTCATTATCGGGTGGAGCGATGGAGTTGGGCAGATGTCTGAAGAATTGGGTGACGAGTGGTACGGTTCCAGCAGCACTTTTAAGCGCGATTATCGTGCTCGATGGAGATGCCGCAGTTGATTTCGAAAGGAGCGTATTGTCATTCGATGGTATAGCTGACGTTTGCCGTCTTCTGGAGGCGTGCAAACTTCAGCCAGGCAGAGTTGATGGCATCGTTCAGAGGTGAGTTAAAGAATATATAATCTCGTTATGGCTCTGCAGGTGCCTTACATACTCACCGTCCGGAGGGTCAGTCATCGTCAACGGAGTGAGTCTGTTAGAGGCGCTTCCTTGTTGTTACGAGCTTTTCAGGATTTCACTTTAGCGAGTCGATATCTGAGAGCTGCGGGCGAGGCTTTAATGAGAACTACTAAGGTCGACTATGCAGTTGATCTCACAATCTTACGGGAAGTAGGGCGCATCCTCTTAACATTGGATTAGGATGTGCTCAGTTTACGGTATGGAAATCACCATCGCTGCAGTGCTCTGTGAGCGCCTTGCTCTTCTCTGTGGCGCGACTAGAGACGGTGAAAGATGAAGCAGGATCTGACCTCGACATGCTGGTCCTAGCTCCTGCCGATTCATCTATATCGTTTATTGTTGTCCTTGCAGGCTAATACCATCGCGGAGTTGCTCGATCGACTATCGCGTTATAAGGGTCAGCTCTCGTCCGAAGCAGATGCCAGGGTCCTCAAGCGCTGTGTGGAGGTGTTGAAGAAAGAACACAAGCAGTGGTAGGTGTAGGGGGGACGACTGTTGGCAGCGACCTGTAAGGTATTTCGAGACGATACCGGTGTCTGTGAGGTCAGCCTTGGATAAGATAAGAGTTATTGTTGAGGTTTGATTATTGGGTCTGTTTACTGTGAATTAGTGTGAACATATCCGCTGGTCGTTTCAGCAAGCGTTTCTCGTGATGTAGTGTTGTTGTCTTTGGTTTGTGAATGACCATCAATGTGAACAGGCAACAAGGGTTATAATGGTTGTAAAGTCAAGCACGCCACGGTGCAACTACCTAGACGGGTGGACGCCTGATGCATTCGGTTGGCATTGGCGTAGATGCGAGTCGAAGGCAATCCTGTTGATGATGTAGCGGTTGTGATGAAGTGAACGTTGATCGAGTAAAGTCGGGATGAGTATGTGCGAGATGATTCTAATGAGTATTAATCACGATAATCATACTAGCGATATATCACAATTTAAGGATACTGTGAGATCTGCCGCCACACAAGTGTGCCGCACTTCACGATGGTCTATTTATACTCTACAAGCTGTGATTCATGTGTTTCCATATTACTATGTCGAGCTTAGTAGCTGACAAGAGGGAATCAGAGATGTACAATAGTTTTCAATAGACTCCCTCACTCTGAAGATGGTCAACCCGTTGAGAACATCATCGAACCACATACTGGAGGAAGAGTAAGGACAAACACGACATAGGCAATACTGATAATGTCCGATTCAGAAAAAGGGTCGTCATTGACTTTAACGAGGAGGAAGATCACGGAGGTGATGAGCCATCCTGTCGACCATAGCATCTCTCAACAATTGTTCTATTGCATGATAACCGATTTTATTTTCGAGTATACGTGTATCAGCTTGAGCGCTCAGACACCACAGCTGATGAGGAGGCGTTAATCAAGGAGGAAGAGGCCGTCGATTGGATAGACGAAGTTAGTCTGCTTATGCTTGGACTCATCGTCTAGTGGTCATTAGTATCTCACCCGTCCAGAATGTGAGATGGACTCAGTGGTGACAGGCTATAAGGAAGAGTTGCACAGACCACCCGTGTCACCACGAGAAGGTGAACGATCGGTCTTGGCTGAACTGATAAAACTGTTGCTATGCAGACCGGGACGTGAACAAAGAAGGCAGCGAAGTTAAGACGGAATGTCGGCGAGTTGCCGAGCTCGATGGTCTCAGGCACCTCCCCACTGTTGCACTCCACTAGCAGTCCTGTCGTTGATCACATCTTACTGCTCGTGCATGGTATAGGCCCAGATGATGAACATCTCAACGACAATCTCGACACTATGAGGGAAACCTTCGAATTCGTCAGACTTCACTGGTGAGTCGACATGCTCATCTTGTTGAGACCTTCGACAGGTTTTGGTCTATGAAAGTCGATTGCCACATTGAGATGGTCAATTGGAAGCAGCATGTTTGCGATTCCCAGAGACGTATGTTCGACAAAATAACACCGCTCCGCTCGGGTGGTGAACAATACCGTGAAACCCGTATGCTCCTGAACGTGGCCATGGCTGATGTGATCTATTACATTATCCCTGACAAAAGGGAAATCATCCTGTCAACAGTCACAAGGCTTTTGAATGATAAAGTAGCTCAGCTGAGAGAAGCCGACCCGAGACGGTTTGGTGGCAGTCGAGTATCCCTCGTTGGACACTCTCTTGGAAGTGTCATCATCAACGACATACTCGACCAAGACCCGAGTCTTTTGGATTTCAAAGTTGATCGCTTCTTCTTATGGGGATCTCCTCTGGCCGTTTTCTTAAGTGTCGCAGATGGTCCGACAGAAAGTCGATTCGGTCTACCGCACAGAATGGACGTTTATAATATCTTCCATCCGCACGATCCTGTTGCTTTCCGATTGGATCCTTTGATAACCGGTGATGACCTCGAGGAGCCTCTGGTGTTGCCTCACTGGGATAATAGCGAACTGAGGTCAGTCTATGTTGAAGGGAAGACGTCCTTTGTGATGACCACAGGTCGGCCAGACAGTGGCAACGCGATATCGATCATGCTAAAAGGCAATTCACAGGGACGTGGATGCAGATGATGTTCGCCACTACGAGTGGAGACGATGGGCCACCGGTCGAAGCATCTCGGGAGGTTGCCTCTGGTGAAGATGCGTAGCAGGTCCGACAACAAGGTAGCTCGTGCATTTGTAGATGCTCAACATCGAGTCGACTATGTACTGCAAGAGTCCACGACCGAGGGTATCGTTCACTCCATGCACAGGATGAGTATCATTAGTGCACACTCCTGTTATTGGAGTAGTCGTGACTTGGCTATGTTCATGCTTAAAGTGTTGACTGGTAGCCACAAGGCGTCTGCTCCTGGTGAGCCCTCCCGTCAGGTGCTGACCCAACGGCCCCACTGTACATGGATGATGACATTTCCACTGTATGAGTAACGATGTGTTGAGCTTGAGGGAACATGAGGATGGTCGAGGAGAAGATTTTTCCTTTCGACTTCCTTCCCAATTCCTCCGTAGCCGACTATATCTCCAATAACTGCGGCATGGACCACAAGTGGCATGTGGTTGGGAACAATGTTAACATTCCTTATAGGGGCTCGTCCAGCTGCCGTTGCTTGTCTCGTCGAAGTCTTCTCCCATCGATGTGTTGGTTGATGAAAAGCTGACTGAACAGGCAGTCTTGAGTTTCAGATAAAACGACGACAGGTTGTTCAGATTTGATGCGGTATGACAACAAATGAACTCGCGATCCGTATGCTGGCCCATCGCCTCTGGCTGAGCTTTGCCGTAACGAACAGGATCCAGTCAACACCCTTCCGTGACATAGCCCGCTTATTGACAAATCTTCCCGTGTATATGCGGCGAGAAGGACAGCTGTACGATATGACAGATTGTATATCTTGTTTCGGCGGGCTCCTCTTCAGTGTAGCAGGGAACGCTCCTGGTTATCACTCACAGGACCCTGGTTCAATTCCCAGTACTTACAACAACCGTTCAATTTCAATACTTCGCGAACGGCACATCACATACCATCCGTCGGGCCCTTTCCACTCAACAACTCAACCGTCCATCTCTTGTAAACGAAGAACACTCGATAAAAGTCAATACCTCGCCGAATTTCACAGTCGACGCCCCCAGACTGAAACCACATCTTATCCAACAACAGTCCTATCGTTGTACCCAGGGGTAGCATCTCTGGTGAGCCAGAAGGGGGGGTTGTAGGGCGGTAGCGCCTACCAGAAGGGTAATTAAAACTCATCAGAATCGACGATTGCTGTATACCTTTTTCTCGTCCTCATTGAGTTCAGGAAGTCCCTTTCTACCAGTAGACACTTGGCAAGCCTGGACGGCGCAGTCGACCAGCGTCGACACCATCGCCGGATTGGAAAGGAATATAGTTGGGCATCCAAGAACGCCCAACGGCAAGCCTGAGAGAGGCATATCCAAGGTTCACCACGCTAAGATACGGAAGAGGTCCGATTAATCCCACCTTCCTCATTCCTCCTCTGCAGACTATCATCAGCTCTCTTCACAAAGGTCGCCCCAGAAGTCCCATTAAATGCCGCCAAGACCAAGAGTGTATCCACCTCCGACAGAACCTTCTTACAGTACTCCCTAAACCTCCTCTGTGCCTGAAGGAACACCTCACCCTACCTCCTCATACGCATTCCTACCTGGGGCGAACGCATAGTCTGGACATACAGCCCTTCGCACGACTTCATATCAGTTCTTTCAATCACACGGTTGTTGATGCTTCTATGCATGTGCTGCCAGAAGTGCTCACAACCATCACCGTGTGACAGGATCACAGCCCCCGTAGTGCATGGATCTGCGGAGCAACGACGATCTCGCCCCCTCCTAAGTCTAGTATTTCTCTGGTGTGAATTCACTACATGAAGGAGTTAGCAAAATCAAAGTTAATTCTACGCGGGTTCAATTCCCCGTACGGACATTTTTAAGGTCAGCTAACGATTTGAAGACCGACAGTTGATACTCCTCCATTTTTGAGACCCGCGAAAAGCTCAATCGTAGCAGCAACAAAAGTTCCGTCCACTCACTGAGCCCTTCTGTCATCATCAACTCCACAGCCTGTTGAGCAATGACTTCAGGGAGGAGACCATGTTGATGATCTAAGGGCGTACACAGCGTCACGGGGACATTGCCAGTGTACCGGACCATATCCGTATCCTACAAAGGCAACCTCAAGATACCATACCACAAGCACCGCCTACCTGGTCTGGATGGAATCTAATATTGAGAATATTCGGCAGGTCCCTTTCGGTGTGAGAGCTGACGGATATGAACACTGGTAGGGCGATGACCCGCGATATCCCTAAGGTGTGGTATGCACCCCTCGTCAGCACGAAGGAGCACAAACACTACCTTCCCTCTCTAACTCGTTCATGGTCTCAGCGACTGATGGTTGGACGAACTCCATATGGCACCAACGTATGGCAGAGAACATCGATTCCAACCTAATATCAAAATGTGATATAACGGAAGTGTGGTATGAAATGATACCCTCTCCGACTCAGCTCCTCCTCTATTTTAGGTAGAAGCTCCTCATGGGACTTGTTCCAAGCTGATGATGGCGAACCATGATCGATCAAGATGAGGCCAACACGGGGAGAAGTCATGATATTAGGGACACAATATAAAACTAACCTCACCCGTAGGATGCTCTTCTGGCAAGGAATGAATCTTTACCCCACTCGAGTATTATCCCATATTTCGACCAATACACAAACACAAGCCGTGAACATTCCTAATTCCAGCAAGAGAAAAAGCCCATGTTGTTGTCAGCAAACTCATGCGCCCAACGCCACTGCAGTCGTACTGCCTCCTTCCCCTTGCCTCTCGGAGGAGCCCCTGCAAGACCACTCGCGGCAACGACAGAGTAATAAGGCGTGACTACTTGTGATTCCCTGTCGCCTCCCGGTTTGAGTGCCCAGCGACTGGCCTATCATTGTGGCCTGGGAGGACGTCTCTGGTGAGCCAGAAGGGAGGGTTGTAGGGCGGCACGAGCTGACACAAGGAACCCTATTACTCCTACACTACCGACTGCTGCGTCACGTAGCAACTCCGAGTTATAAGAGCCGCTACTACACGGGCTGAATTCCCGTCTGTTGTCGCTCATGTGAAACGAACCAACGCCGACGGAGAGGACTCTCGAAAATGAGTTTTAGAAAGGAACTAATACCCGACGGAGGAGGAGTGAGAAACTACAATAGTGCACAATAGCTGTATACTGTGACTCGCAAGTCGCCACCCTACCCCGGGTCCAGCAAGTCCACAACAGTAACCCCAGCCGCTACCTCTTTATCTTGACCTTCTAGTTGAGGTACCCTCTTCCGACCGGTCGCCACTTGGCACGCATGAACACCACAATCCACTAAGGCGGAGATCAACAGAGGGTTGAGGATAAACTGATCGGGGCATCCGATAACGCCTGGAAGCAAACCTGAATGAGATGGACCATCATCGGACCTGATTTGAATCTACCAAAGAGGCACGTTGGATATCCAGTAAGTAACACCACAGGGTGGAAAACAGGAGGAGGACTACCTACTACTACTACTACTACTACTACTACTACTACTACTACTACTACTACTACTACTACTACTACTACTACTACCCTCCTCCTTCCTCTTAGTGAAGCCATCATTAGCCCGGGCTAGGAAGGCTGCCCCCGAGGTGCCGTTGAAGCCGACATGACCAACAACGTGTCCGCTT